AAATTACTTGCTTATATGAATCTGATTTAATGATTTAAAATTCAGTGTATAAAATGTAACCAATTTTTAATGTTTTGAATACACAGAGCAGAGTATTTAAAACCATGTTTAACTTTTTCTTTTAAATAAATTGTCAGTTTAGTTTTAAAGTGTGTTAAAATTAACCATTTCTAAACAAGTTTAAATTCTAGATGTATAAGTCAAGGTAGTAAAAATAAAAATAACTGTGAAGGTTTTTGGATTATGAGACTGTTTTATATATAAACTGGGTTCATCAACTACATGTGGGAATTAGAGACTATTTTTCGACACTATACTCTTTCCATTGTCTGTAACAAAACACCTTGACTGTTTTCAACTATGGGCTCTCCCAACAAAGTATATTCTGATAAATATTGCCTGGTTTCAAAGTCAATCTCTAATAGCCATTTATAAATATGACTAATATTTACTGAATGCTTACTCTATGCCATATGGTTGCATTATCTTATTGAATACTCTTAACATCTCTGGAGGTTGGGACTATTATTTTTCTCATTTCAAAGACGAAGAAATGGAGGCTCTACAAAATTAAATGCTTAAGAAGCAGTGTTGCCAGAAGATTGGAGCTCCTAACCATTATCCTATACTGCCTCTTCTTTATGAATTATGAGTTACAGGTAGGCCCTTGTGTAAAAGAAAATGACAAACTTTCTCATAATTTTTCATTGAAATTCTTTACAGTAGAAACAGACTAAGGAAAAGGATTCTCTTTTCCTGTTGCTATTTTTTTGTGGTATGTGCCATGGGACAGCTACTAATATGTATTCTGACTCTGCTTCAACAAAATAAGAGAGGGAAGTGGAAGTGGAAATGGAATTTGTTAGAGAAAATAACGGCTACAGGGGTTTTCCAAGTGGATTAGAGTAACATGTTCCACTTAATCTTAAAAGCTGATTTTGACAGATAAGAAAACATTAACAGTTTAAAGACTTCAAAATAATAAAACGAAAACTGAGTATTCGAAGGCTTCAGAATTAGAGTTTGGGTTTAAGCAACTTGCAAACCTACCCAGGTCTGCCCGGGAAACCTTACATAGTCTTAAGGTCCGGTGGTTGAGAGTTTTGAACTCTTGACTCCAGCGTAGTGGTGAATTTAAATCTCAAAACTCTTGGACTTTTGTTGTGGTGGTTGCTTAGCTTCTCTCAGGAAAAATAAAATAAAATAAAACACGAGTGTTTTAAATTTTCTTTTGGAGAGTCAGAGGGAGGGAAGGGGGGAAGAAAAATTAAACGGTCCACAGCCAGTCCGTATAATTTGAGGTTTTCTCACTAACCTCCCTTCAGAGATTTTGATGTGACCTTTAATCTGGAAAGGGTGACTTTCCTGTGTTTATCTGGCTGCCCCTCTCCTCTCTATCGCAGGACAAGCCGCGGCAGGGGCAGTGTCCGAGCGCGAGGACCCCGGAGGCCGCCGGG